CGTTTAGACCACTCCGTAATGCGGCGATGAGATCCTGTGGCGGTAACCTGAAACAAAGGGGTATTGAGTGAGTACCCCGGACAACTCATTGATGAAAGCTACGTAGCACAATGAGTAGCTCACTTCATGCCGAATTCCCGGATAGCCTGTGACAACCAGTTCACCGTGTCTGCCTGTGAACGTGGATTTTTCAGCTGGTTCACCGATTTCAGAATCTGTGAGCCAACAAAGGGAAAGTCACACCGCTCGGCCAAGGTGGTTAACACAGCTTTGATCAACTCGCAGAGTTTGGCATCGCCAATCTTGTCTAGGAGTTCTGGAATGAGAAGTTCCGACAGGTTGGAAGACACGGATTTCGCCGCATCCAGCACAGATTGCAGCAGTTCCACACGAGACCGTAACACCTTGGAAAAGGAAAGAAAACACCGATTGCATGTCATGTCGTATCACGTGACTCACTCTGTCAGGAAGCACACAAGACACCCATCAAACGTCTCAGTAAACACTAATCGCTGAAGGTCTGGCGGATACTGAGCGCCGCAACAGCCAGTAAACCTAACCCGCATGAAATCGGCGAATTCTGGCTGACCCATGTAATAATAATCGTTCAGTCGTAACACCTCTTCGGTGTCTAACTGTTATCCCACCCAAAACCCGAGGGACAGGATACTGCCAAGTTGTTCAAGCCTAACACTAGGGTTTGGGCAATATGATAGTATCTCGGTCCTCGTGCTTCTTTCGCGCGACGTGGCAGCTAGGCACCGAAAAGGAGTCACAGCTGAGAGATTATTATTATTCCTATTAAGGCTCGAGCCTAAAACCTCAACCTTGGCAAACGACATAACATTTCAACGCCATTTCACGATAATTCCAATCCGGATACTGTAGATGTTGTGTTATGTCACTGAGGTTGATAAAATCGTTCAGCTGTGGCACCCTTCCGGTGCCTAACCGCCATGCAACCAGGAGGAAGCAAGAGAGCTGGGATACTGCCAGGTTGCCCAAGCCCAGACAGGGGAATTCGAGAGGCAGAGATCAGATTCGAACCACGGACCTTTCGGTTAGTAATTTCGCGCTCGAACACTGAGCTATCTCGCCCCCCCCCCACTGAAGTTGGTAGGGCTTACAAATGCATGGTCTGGAGCTTCCTCGCTCCAATGAGATGTAACTACAGGCTAAGCAGCGTGACGATGGGATCCATGAAGACATGGACTCCGTCTAACCGAAAGCAGCTCCTCACAATCCAAGTTGATATCATCTGGGCAGAGGAGGTTCTGCTGGTTAGAAACCACACCATTGATCGTGGCTAAAAACACTTACTACGATATTGGTGTCCTTCAAACCAGGTTTTCGCATAACTGTCCGGCATACGACCTGAGTAGGCAGGTCGGACAAACCGATTGCAGTACACCGTGATTGTAACTCTTGGACAGCTGCGTTTCGTTCCTTCCAATCTGCAGAGCTGAGTTGGGCGGGCAATTCCTCACCAAACAATCTGGAAAAATCAGGAAAGAATAAACCGACGGTTGAGACAAACCACATTGTTATCTTGGATGGTGATCTAGGGTGAGAAAAGAAGGAACTAGGAACCATATACAATCTGGTGAAATTTCAGGTCGAAGACATTGTGACGACACTTCGACTATTTTTGGATTACCCCTCTCCCGGTGACCACGATGGGTTGGCATCACACAGGACCTCGAAGCCAACGGTTCCAGCACTTTAGACAAGACTACACGTACATTATTCGCCATGAAATGCATACAGGCCACCAACCACTGGTGGACCTGTTCGTGTGCGGATTCAACTAGCCATCTAGCTGCTCGTTCTGAACAACCATTTCACTGAAGTTCCGCTAATGCTAAGACATCCAGTGTGAGTCTCAGTCAGCCATTCTAATCCGATAACCTACGGTACGCCACCTCATCGTCCAAGTAATCACTCGTCCCAAAAACTCAAGGCCCTAGAAAAAAATAAAAAAAGCTATTCCATTTTTTTATAAATATTTCCCGGTCCCATTTCGTACAGTGCTGAGAGAATCAAGGATTATGGTTACCGCAATTCTGGTGGCCGAGTTTCGCTTCAAAAGATATTCGTTCGGATGGGCAAACAAAACGCACGTTAACCTGGGATGGAACGATCAAACGAAGCACTTGCTGGACCGGCTTTAATGTGAACCAAGGACCATCTGTTCAAAGTTCAAGACAGCCTGACAAGCCGATAAGTGGTTAACAGTATATCAGAGCTTCAAGTATGAAGCCAGAAAGCGACCAAGATCCCCAAACGAACTTCCAAACTAACCGAACATATGTACCAAAGGTTTTGCGTCTTGCACAATTGTGACCCGGGGAAAAACAAACTAATTTCCGTAAGCAACGCTGCCACACAGCTACTGAGCACACGCTTGACCAGATTAAGTAACCCGAGCGATCTCTCTCCAAGATCTACACCTTTTCCAAACTAAGTTCAGGGGATGAGACTTGCGATAGGTAACATATGTGTGACCAGTAGTATACTAACAAAAAGACTGACCTAGGTAGCACCACGACACAAGGTCCACTTTCAGTTGAGAACAGGATGCAAAACTCGTGTACTGAGCGCTATTCTATTCCTAAAACATGCCTCCTACTTCCCACACTGCGGACAAGCCAGTTCCAATGACATGTAGAGCTCCGTACTTTCAGCTCAACGCCATAAATTCGCGAATAAATGAACAGACTGTCGCATTTTCAAAGAAAAACCACAGAAATCGCTACATGTGAACTTAATTATGCAGATCGGTATCGACTGGCCCTCGTTCCGTCAGTCAAGCACGGTGTAGAGAAAATAGTTTATCATGTGCCTGACACCAGGGAAGCCAACCACACTGGGTGATTATTGACATACACTGCTCTGGACCTTGTGGTACTGCGTAGCTCAATAGAGGAATGAAAAAGTGCGTGTTTCGAACACACAAGCAAATTGCTCGGGCTGAAGACCGGAAAGAAACGCAACTGAAATTCTTCGCAAAGGAAGCTCGAGGAGGTCCGTGTGTTACACATTATGTGGAGGAATGTTAACACGTCATCGATTGCGAGGGATTCCACCGGTATCAGTGAATTCAACAAGCAAATGAGCTCAAAAGTAAACTTTCAACCAAACTTCTGATTAAGTTTTGGGCTGACTGTTTCAAACTCCAGATACAACGCCTAACACATGAGCCCAGCACTGGGCGAAACCGGTAGTGATCAATCTACAGATTTTGAGCAACCATTCCATGCTACTTATATTGAACAAATACCTGCCTGACTCCCACTTGGTGAAGTCCTGTTCAGAGATCCTACTCAGCTGCCTGACTCGGATGAGTCCCCGGATGCGACAGAACCGAATCTGTCATTACCCTCGTATGCAGTTCACGTTAACTGCGTAATATAATTGGAAAAAATAAGAATGAAAGCTGGCATGCAACAAACATGGAGGATTGCTGAACAAGTACGGCGACTCCTGTGTGAACAGGACACCTCCCACGAGTCGATTAAAGCGAATGCTACGTACTGAGTGCTGTTTCCGTCCTGATGTAACAAGCAGTCGGTTTTGGATCAGTAGAGCAAAGAGATGAATGGACGAGGCAACCAGCCATTAGTTTGGTCGCAAGCAGATCTATTTAACACAACTGATGCACGCTACCCACAATCTGTCGGAGTTAGTTGAGGACTGAATTTGAAAGATCGCGGCACATTCGTGTATTTCGTTTAGTTGGATTCTGTTGAACCAGAACCTAAGTAAGTGTAACTCATCAGCAGCCGTAAACAATCGACTAGGAGGCTGATACTAAAAAGTCGACTTGGTGGGCATCGTCACCATTTTAACCGGTGCACTTTTAGCGCTCTTGATTCTATTGGAAACAGCCTAAACGACCATTACACCGGAATCAAGCAATTGCAGCTCTTGCGTGATCGGATTATTAGGTATTCTGCGGAGAGCAAAGTCGAAAGAGGGAAGAAGCATCTCAAACAGAATACCTGGAGAGAAATGCAAACAGCTCCAGAGTCAGAATCAACAGAGAAAATGAAAAAACTGTCAATCAGGAGTGGGGAAAGACCTGAATGAAATGGGACATCGTAGAAGTATCCTAGACCATTCAGTCAATGTGCACCGACTCTGGGGAATCGCACTAGAGGTATGAAGAATCACTGCGAAGATGGCAAAATTGAGCAACGATCGAAGGAGTGAACAGACTTCTGACGCAGAAGTTGTCGGCAAAAAATGTACCAGATGAATTCAACCTGGAAGGCGGAATACGTTTGGATAGAATGAACGCAAGAGAAGAGAGGCCGATAAGGCGCCACAGTCTGATGCATTTTTGCACTATCAAAAGGACGTTCTTTGGAATACAGTTTCTAAATTAGCCAAATACTCTCATTTGCAAACCAGTTTGATTTGGCAGAAGACTCACTTGAAAACCAGCTGAATCCCTTGTTTATGATGTTTTTAAGCAACCGAGTTTCCTACACGAGACCGCCTCATGTTTCAGTAGGTATGATATTCGGGATATCGCGATATCTCGGATAACACACCACTCATGAAGTTGCTGAAAACTCTGGACAGCCCACGACCGGTTTCGACTTTCTTGGGGCTCATCACGTAGGTACAGTCCTCGAGTTTCCGTCAACCTTGTGTTCTACCTGAACCCAAATTATACGAAACTAGCGAAGTACACTCATTTGCAAACCAGTTTGGTCTTGCGGGGGACTCACCTGGACTCATCAGCTGAATTTCTCGTTTATGATGTTTCCACTTTACTCAACGACGCTGTCGGTAACGACACTGACCGTACAGTTGCAAAATGTAGCTTGTTCTTTCTCTGCAAAACATGGCCGGCACTTTAATACGGCCAGATTCATCGAGTTTTTTCTTTAAAGTCGCTCTCATGTACTACCAACACGACTACATACGCCAGAAACGGATCCTGCATCTGGAGGAAATATTTCGGGTGATCATACAGAAAAGACACAAACAACTACATCTATAGCCGGTAATCCGTATCCGAATAACCCACAGACACAACACTAGTGGGGGGAAAACGCTTTGGAATTTCTGGCACCGAAACTCAAACAAGAGGGTGAAACAGAAAAGTATTCAGCCAAGAGACGTCTGAAGCCGGTTGCATTTAAATCGGCCCATTCAAGGGAGAGAACTTTGTCCAATGCAAGCACTACAGATGCCGGCAGCTAAGACCATTTAATCGCATAACATCAGTTCACCCACTGTTCACTACACACAAGGGGACCCGGAAGGTGTTCCCGGCATAAAAGTAATCTACCGTACTTTTAGCTAAAAAGCATGCGAGAATAGCAAATCCCAGGGTGTTGGAACGAGAGAACATACTCAGAAGCTTTTTGTGCACATTGTTCATCGGACAGAAGAGTCTCTGTTGGGATGGTGGGAGCGGCCGATGCTGTGGCTTTCCCAGCCCCTGTGGAGGGCTTAGCAGCAGGCGGCGTTTCCGCTTGACTGATGCCGCGGTTGCTGGCCTGGAAGGAGCGTCCGATGCTGCAGTATTGTCATCGCCACCATCTTTAGACGAGGGTTTGGCTGTGGCTGGACGTTTGGTAACCGGTTTTTCTTGTTCCGACCCAGTTCCTGGACGACCCTCTCCAGCACCTGAAACGGAAACGCGATATGCTTTGGTTTGAGTAGCAATCAGTTACTGTGCCCATGTTGGAAATTGTTTTCACGACCAGTGAACCAGGGTTTTCAACTGGCCAACGGGAAAAACTCTTCAGTTGTCTTCTGGCATCCCACTAGGATCAAACACGCTCTCCGACTGACCACTGGACTGTCAGGTTTTGCCGGCACGCCTCACTATTGGTTCAACACATGAACGCCATAATCGCATGCCGAATCCCCATGTAAGCATTCTGACAGGAAACTCACGTCAGAAAAACGATAGGTAGACCATTAGATAGGCCGACGAGCTGCCGCACTCTGGTGTGAGAGGAGGCAGCTGACTGTCTTGTGTCGACCAGGATAGGACAAACATGTGGCTTTCTACATCGGTGCTCGATTGACCTTCAACAGAAGTGACATACTAACTGAACAGACTGTGATAACTTGGAGCGAACAGAGAACCAGCTAAAACATCTTCAGATAGCAGTGATCAGAGAGTCGGGAGATCGATGGTCTGGTGGTCAGTAACACGAGTGTTTTGTCAAAGCTGACCGGATTAGACTATACGGGTTACCGAAACCGAGTAGTCGACTATTGATTAGGTCAGCAAAAAATGGTCTGTCAGGGTGGGCTGAGCAAATAATGAACCGTTTAAAAACCATTAGAATCGTCCGAAAGGGGCTGACCCCTACAGTAGTGCGACGGCGTGGGTACCTGAGTAACTCATTGAGGATAACTATGCGACATCAACCAAGTCACTTCTATCAGACTAAATGGTGGGTGAAGTTCTGACAAACAGTGTCTACTGAATATTCAGGTTGGGGGCTGCATGGGCGAGATGGCTCAAGTGGTCAGAGCGTGAATTTACTGACCAGAAGATCCGTGGTTCGAACCCGACCTCTGCCTCTCGACTTCCCCTGTCTAGGCTTGGACAACCTGGCAGTATCCCAGCCCTCGTGCTCCCTTCGGGTGGCATGGCAGCTAGGCACCGGAAGGGTGCTACAGCTGAACGCTTTATCTTTATTTATCTTTTCTGGGGGCTGCAATAAATATGTCAACCCGTCAACCCAAAAGTCCGGCGACCACCACCAAGCTTTTGAGCCAAAGGATTTGACTGAGTAATTTAATCAGCGCCCTTCGAGTTCTGCGTATTCGGTCCAGTGGAACAGAACAATGTGATCAACCTGATAGTGGTTATAAAGAAGTGGGTAGAGCGAAGAACACATTTATCCTTCCAGGAGGGTTCGAGAGTTTGATTCAAGTTGAAGAATTCGAAAGATGCATTTCATTCAATGAAGGGATTTGCCAACTTTTCTCTACGGCCATCGTATACATATATATATATATATATATATATACTACCACGAGTATCGCATCCCGTGTCCAGAGTGATGTAAACCGGGCGGCGGGTAACATAAATTTCTTTGGGAACAGAATGGAGGTTAGGAAAAGTCTGGTTGTTGTGGAAGTGACCAATTTTCTTGGATAGGGCATACGCCAACCTACCCGAAGTTGACTATACAGAAATTGTTCAGCTGTAGCACCCTTTCGGTGTCTAACCGCCATGCCACCCGAAGGTTGCAAGAGGGCTAGGAAACTGCCAGGTCGCCCAAGCCTAGACAGGGGAAGTCGAGAAGCTGAGGTCGGGTTCGAACCACGGACCTTCCGGTCAGTAAATTCACGCTCCAACCACTTGAGCCATCTCACCCAGTTGACTATACCATGGTTGACAGAATACCAAAGTTGATGACAATCGTACCGTCCATTCCTATTCAAATTATCTAACTGAGTGCCGAATGTATACGCAGCTCGGGTGTTCACGACAGGCTAACGCATAAATTCCAGTTATTCACGGAATATTATGGTGAAATGATGACATCTCAGGGATCCCAGGAATCACGACGCAGTTAGTCTGGGAGAAAAGAGATGTCGAACAGCCTGGGCATCCGTAAACAATGAAAGAACCAATTAAGGCTATGAAGGTCTGTCTGTCCATGAATCACCATTTGCGAGCTTACCCATCGAGTGTTTTATCTATGGTGTGAGTGGCATTGTTTAATTGAACCACTTGTGCCGCTCGTTTGAGTCCCGGACTTCTGTGATCCAACAAAACCCACCAGCGTCACATAAGTACATAGGTTTTGTAATTGGATTTATTGCTTTCATAAAGGAAACTACTCACAAGGTTGCTGAAAACTCTTCGACTGCTCACGACCGGCTTCGCCCTTCTTGGGGCTCATCAGGTAGGCGCAGTCCACGAGTTTCCGTCAACCTTATGTGTTACTTGTTGGATATAAGATCAACCTGTGCTGAAAATCCAACAAGCATTGTTTAGTTGTTTCACCGACCTTGCGAACAACCCGCAAAATCTTGTGAAAGACTCGGAACTGCGGGCTTTCACCCAGCAGTTGAAGAACGCTACCTTTCAGCTATAGGTAGCTGACCGGCACCGTGGTGAAGAACGCTACCAATGTAACACAATCCAACGTTGTAGTTGGTTTCTTGACCGAGAACAGCTCGATTGCCATCCAGCTACGCACCGATGATGTCGCTTCGTATGCTAACGGAACGTTCGCAAATCAATTGCCAAGCTCGGCGAACAGATCAACAACCAATGATTGCCAAAGAAGGACACTTCTTCAAAACGGTTTGTGACGGTCGGGAACTCGATGCACGTAAACCCACGCAGGCTAGACTTACCTTTGCTGGCGCCATCTTTCGACTCAGCAGCGGGTGCTTCACAATGTTCTTTCACCTTTGCCATCCGCAATGCATCCAAGTCTCCTAAGAACGGTTCTATGCTCTTCGCACCAACAACACGCATTGCAGCCCCGAGAGCCGCGAAGCTGTTCTCCCGCACATCTCCGGATGTGTCTTTCGAAGTTTCACATAACGCCACGGTGAGCGTTTTGAGTAATTTCTTACTAAGCATGGCCGGCGTACACCGAGGAAACAAGCGACTGAGGAAAAGCGCCGTCTCGGCTCGAATGCTGGGAGATTTATCTTGAAGAGCAGATACAACATCCTCCACTACGACATCCAGAGTGGTCTTCAGGGTCAAAAGAAAGCCGGGAATCGTAAGAAGTATGGCAAACAAAGTACACAGACATATACAGCTAACTCATTCAGTAAAAAAACTGAGCAATCAAAGATTTAACTCGGTACACAGTGCACCAGAATAAAGCATGAGGGTGGAGTTAATGTCAGGCTTGGGAAGGAATAGGGAAACACGCTTCTAGTCGCGCCTGAACCTGTAAGTCATTTGGAGTTTAATCCCCAAATGAGCACAGTACCAACACAGCACTAACCAAAACGAGGGCAATAACCTGACAATGAAGTAAGAAACCAAAAAACGCAGATATCTTGGCTACTGCCACCTCACCGAACGGGGACTTTGGGACAGGACATATCAGTCGCACTGGCAGCCAGTGGTGCTCTTGTTTTCATTAGAAAACTCGAACGACCTTGCACCTTGTCCATATAAGAGCTAAGAACAGCATCTTATGCGTCCGGGGCTGACGTGAACGTCGCTAATGTACATGGCTCATTCGTGCGAAAGCTTTTTAGCACACAGGGAAATCCTAGAACGGCTGCTGATAAGGTTGTGCGAAAACGGTCACTTCATAGGAAGGGCTGGATTCGCGTGTCTTGATCCGGATCTACTATAGTTTAATATAAATCTTGTGTTCATCATACAACAGTTGGAAGATGAGTCGTGGGCCCACCACTATTGCTACCGTGCTGGCCGGAGCCCGTTCTACAGCAGTATGTGACGGAACTGATCAAAGGTAAGCGTGTATTGTATCCGAGCACTGTTTGGCAATAGAACTGTGTGAGCTTTGTGTGTGTCACTGCTTAGGTCTGCGGGAAAGAGACGCCATATGCGCACACATCTCAAGGTGGCTGCCTTCAGTCAAAGGTGGGTTATCCTTGAAGTGAACGTGAAACGGGATTCCATGGTTAATAAATTGGGTTGATGACAATAATAATCATTCAGCCGTAACAGCCTTTCGGTACCGAGCTGCCATGCCACCCGGAGAAGGCACGAGGGCTGAGATATTATTACGTTTCCCAATCCTAGACAGAAGCAATCGACATTCCGGGGTTGGGTTCGAATCATGGGCCTTCCGATTAGTAAGTGTGCGCCTTAACTACTGAATTATCTCGCCTGCTAATAATAAAATGCAGGCGGAATGCAAGATGAACACTTTGAAGTGTGTTCCGTGTGAGACGCATCTCTTTTCGCAGTTTCCTGTTGCATTAATTCTAGTGCCAAACTACTTACTTAGTGCTACTTACTTGATCTTGAGAACACAAACCAAACACTGTTAATACTGTACCATTTAACTTGAACACCACAATCATGCAACAAGCATGAGTGTGTGAGACGAGATACATTTTACACGGAATACCGGTCAAAGTGTCGGTCCTTGAAAGGGACGGGGCGCAGCATACGAGGATAAAGACACACCTCCATTCTTCAGGTCACAGATGAGAAAAACAGCTGGCCCCGACTCCGTCATACAGCAACTTACCCACTGTGTTCCATGTAAATTCACGCCGCAATTCAAACAAGGTTAGTTGGCCACAGTCATGTGACCTAGAATTTCACGTAAACCAAAAGGAAGGATGCACCTGATTCATACATTCACTCATGTATCACATGATATGTGTAAAAGACAGGTTTTGAGTTTTGGAATGATGTGTAAGTAACAATAAACAGCCACCTGAATAGCACCGATGACGGAAGTATGAACAGACACGGCTAGAACAGTAGGACGAGCATTAGAGAAATTTTGCCTTCGAAGACAAGCCAGTCAATTGAAATATGAAGGCATTTCCCCTCAAGTACCCGAGGCACCAATCCCAATAACAGCTGCGCACCTGCTTCTTCATGGGCGGACGCATGTGTTACGGGGTGCACGTATACAAGTGTCTAACTGTGGAGAGGTCGCCTCAGGAACCCGACCACAACTGATCGCTTCTGTGGACCAGTCACTTCTACGAATCATCATCATCATCATCATCGACAGCATGATATCAGTGTTCAACACCGATGCTTCACTGCCGTAACTTCTACGAAAGAAGCAAATACGAAAGAAGTATATAAGAGAGAAGTATATACGAAAGAAGTATGCCCTGACTGACCCACCACGGGTGGCTTGCTCTAAGGACAACTGTATACCGGAACCTCAATTAAACAGGGTCATGTCATCGGTGTACCATTACTTACCGCCTTCATTGCTGTATCGATGGTGGTTCGTAGTGCAGTGATGAGTGTCGGCTTTCGTTCTTTAAATTTCCCCAAACAAGTGCTCACAGTGTGTTGGGCATACGGAGCATATTTCTTCTTCAAACCATTGGCCAGCTGACCAAGAATCTCGGTCGCCAGAGTGACCAGAACCACGTTTGTATCCTTGTTAACGACCTGAATGAGAAGAGGTGATGGTCTTCAAGCCGAGGCAACCTACGTGTGTGAGGCTTTTGACCAATTCCCCAAAATCGCCCGGTTGAATGCGCGGAACGTCTAACACCTTCTGTAAGGCTTTCAGAGCGTCCTGCCGAGTTTGCCACTTCTTTTCAGTCTGTAAAAAGAAGAAACCGGTCAGCCTCATACCAGACTCACAATCCATGTCCAGTAGTCATTGGGGATGTTCGACAACACGTCGACAGGAGCAATCAAATCTTCCAAATCTACTTGTTCTTGATCTGGTGCATGCGCGCTGTCCGTAGGACCACCTCCAGACGTGTCAACTGGTGCACTATCGAATTTCGGCTTCTGACTTTTCAGATAACGTTGAGGGACAGGCTTTTCTGGTGGGAGATTTTCACAAAGTGTGTTTATCTCGGATACCTAGGGGACATTTGGAAGAGCCTGAAAAACTTACCACAACCGGCTTCAAATCAGTCATCAGAGGCTTGCAGCCCTGTCCAATCCATCGGTATAATTCCACAATAAGATTCTTGGTCTCCTCACGTACATTTTTATCACGATCCTCAAACAGCCGAGAGAACTCTTTGATCAACGGTTTGAGCTGAACAACTTTTGGACCAAACAAACTAAGAGTGAAATTTCATGTTATAAAACGAAAAAACGACCGAACTTTAGAATTTTCCGTATTGTTTGTAAACATGCAACCACAAGTTTGGGGTTTTTGTTCGACAGGCCTTTAATCAGCTCATCACAAACCACCTCGTGACGTTCGATTTCAACCAACTGTAACAGACATTCAACTGCCTTGTCCTTAGATTTCGCCCGAGCGGAACTCAACCCCTTGGAAACCAGAGCTGCAGAGACAACGAAAAAACAACTTTAGAATTTTCCGTATTGTTTGTAAACATGCAACCACAAGTTTGGGGTTTTTGTTCGACAGGCCTTTAATCAGCTCATCACAAACCACCTCGTGACGTTCGATTTCAACCAACTGTAACAGACATTCAACTGCCTTGTCCTTAGATTTCGCCCGAGCGGAACTCAACCCCTTGGAAACCAGAGCTGCAGAGACATCAGGGGCACATCTAAAAAAGCGAATAACCGCTGTGGGATAGGTCAACTCACTTTGGTGCTATAGCTGCGGACTCCAGAAATGCTAGCACGCAATCCAATGCAGACTCTTGGGCAATGGCGTTTGCTTCAGCAACAAATGTCTTCATCAGGCTGACATATTCGTTAAATACCGGTGCAGTCTCCGAGTCCTGCACTGTAAAGAGCTTCTGTGCTTCTGCGTAGCCCTCTGCGCGAGCCTTCCATTGCTAATGAGGTGACAGAGGTGACCAAATGGCTGGACGGATTTACTCACCTGATGCTGCACTTTGCTAAGAGTAGGAAGTTTTTTCCATTCGTTATCGTCAGCCATCGCCTAAAAAGGAAGTCAAAAAGACGCATAAGTATGAAAAAAGAGTATTTCGCCAGTGAAGCACATCCGGGAAACTTTAAGTCGAGTGCCAAACGCGGGGTTTTCTTTCGAGACCTTGACCCGACATTCGAATCCGTAAGACTACGAGTGCTGGGAGTTTCCTAGAGACTATTCCAGGAGCAGAGAGTTTTGTGTGGAAATCTGACCTCTGACACTACTGGAACCGCGCAGCTGATTTTTGTCATTCAAGAAGCCCCTTCACATTCCACTTTCCACGTCGTGCAAGTGGCTTCTTCCACATCTTGGCAGACGGTGTATTTATATGGAAAACTGAGGACAGGTGCACCATTTCATGCTTTTGACTTTAAGGCAGCGGCAGGATGAAGCAGCGGGACAGCACAAGGCCGGAGTATGAAGCCAACGCACATACCAGGTTTTTGATGGCTCGGTGGTTAAGGCGCGAACATACTGAAAAGAAAGTCCGCGGTTTAAACCGCCTAAGAATCTTGACCGCTCCTGTCTAGGCGGTCGCCAAAATCAATCTAGTACGAATTTTTCTCGGCTAGTTAGTTGAGAGATAATGAAAGCAAATGAACTCTCAAACTTCTTGCTGCCCTTTTCTCTTAAACGCCATACAGAGAACCCTGGGTGGGTCTTTCATCATTATGAATACTGACAGCAACGGCTCGCAACGACCGGGTTTGTCACCCATATAGCAACATGGAACGTACCGCAGCATTAAAAGAATCGTTCAGCTGTAGCACCCTTTCGGTGCCAAACTGCCATTCCACCCGAAGGTCGCATGAGGGCTGGGATACCGTCAGGTTGCCCAAGCCCAGACAGGGGAAGTCGAGAGGCAGAGGGTTCGAAGCACGGACCTTCCGGTCGGTAAATTCGCGCTCTAACCACTTCGGCCATCTCACCCCGTACCGCAGCATTGTAAGCAGGACTCTCGACAGATAGGCTTATGTCAAGCCGGCGACTAGTGATGCAGGTCCACGAAAGCTGCTGCTACGGTAGCGAAGCATCAGGGTTGAACAACCACGGCCATCTCCCCCGTACCGCAGCATTGTAAGCAGGACTCTCGACAGATAGGCTTATGTCAAGCCGGCGACTAGTGATGCAGGTCCACGAAAGCTGCTGCTACGGTAGCGAAGCATCAGGGTTGAACAACCATGTTATGCTGTCCATTAGGATGAAACTGCTCCGGCCTACCCAATACGTTTTGGAGATCATGGTTGGTTAAACGTGGGATTTTGGAAATATCATCTTTCGATAGACTACCGGAACTGATCACCTAAATCACTGCTTTCACGCTCCAATTGGAATGCAATCAGAAAGCCATTACTTTCTCATACCAACGATTGTGCACTATCTGCTTCCGGCAACAACTTACCGCCTACTGGAGAATTCACCTGCAATGTGGCTTTCAATAATGTGCGATTTAAGAGCATTTGCTAGCTCACAAATTGCCAGATCTTAATTCGCTCGGCCTCGATTGGATAAAACAGTTAAATAGATTTGTGTCCCTCTACATTCTGTGTGCGACAGCGTGCATCTCACACATACGAGCACTCCTGAACAACTCACACGCACAATCCAATCGAATTTTACCAATGTTCTTTTCAAGATGGTCTTGGACATTGTTCCAAAGCCCAAGCCACATTTCACTTGAAGCCAAACAGCAAACCTGTCTTATGCGGCTCTTGCATCTGTGGACGCTGGTTTACTTGATCGTCTCCGGATATAAGGCTTTATCCAGCCTGATATAGGCCAGCACTAGGTCCCCTCCCTCAACCACTCTTTCTCTCTTCTCTTCACTGTGGGGCTTTTAATACAATTATATATATATATATTATATATAACTAAACGAACCTTATGGTTGTACGGCAGTGAAGCATCAGTGCCAACACTGATGTTGCTGTCTTTGATGATGATGATGCCAGCCTGTCAACTACTCTTCCCGGGCAGCCTCCATTGTCGTAACCAAGAAGCCAAATGATCTGCATCAACTAAACCTTGGTAGCGTTCGCATGTTGATTTTGCCAAGTCAATCAACAATCCGCATTAATAAAAGATAATCGTTCAGCTGTAACACCCTTTTTGTGCCTAGCTGTCATGCCACCCGAAGGTAAAACGAGGTCCGAGATACTGCCAGATTGCCCGAGTCTAGACAGGGGAAGTCCAGAGGCAGAAGTCAAGTTGGACCTTCCAGTCAGTAAATTCGTGCTCTAAGCACCGAGGCATCTCGTCCCCAATCAACATTATCTTATCATGGTTGAAGCTTACAGTAAATGGCCGGATATGATCACGATGGGCCACAACACCTCCTGCTTCACAAGATTGCAGATCACTCGCATCCTCAGTCACTTCAGCACGCCGGGAACATTGGTTGCAGACAACGGTAGTGCAACTACCTCGTCGGAATTCGCCTTGCTTTGCAGGCAAAATGGCATTCAGCGCGTTAGACCACCGGCATTCTGCTGTACCTGTGTGCTAGCTGAGAGATTTAGCAGCTCGATGGAATTTATTCTATCATGCTTTATAGTCTAGTATTTAAGTGGGAAAACCTCAAGGAAGAAGACAAAGGATACCAGATGAAGATCGGCTGTGCTGCAGATAAACCAACGGAATAAAGTCCGCTGCAGCTTGTTACCAGAACAGAACTGTTAATCGTCTAAAAATTTCGTCTCAACTACGGACTGATCGTTTCTGGTCAATTCTCACATTCTGCTTATATTTGTCGTCACCACACGTTCAGCCACCAGATTGCATCGTGCTGAGTCCCTATTGATTTATCCTCGTTCCGCTCTCACGTGTGACTCCTATTGGTCGTTGCATTTCGTTATTTTTCTGCTCGATCGTGCATAACTGTTGGTTCCTATTGGTTATTCGGTTGAAGAGAGAGTCTCGGCCAATTCATGCCATTTTTTCCGATGTATATAAACTGCCTTACTTCGCGACGAAAAAATACCTGTTCCTGTGCTCGACCTTGGCTTCTTCCTTACGCGAGTTGACGGGTTACCTCCGGACGACACAACAACCTGGCGACGGATTGTGTGTACAAGATGGCAATTTCATTCGAACAAATGCAGCAACTCCTCCATATCCAGCAGAAACAATTTGAAGAATCCCAGAAACAGCTGATTGAAATGCTGTCAAAAAAAGTGAACCTCAAGTCCGAAGCCGCTGTGGACAAGAACCAGTCATCAGTTGATGCCACTGCTGCTTCCATATCCGAATTCGTTTTCG